GGGCGAGTCTAATAAGTACATCCAGTACGGAATCCGGACCGGAGTATCGGTACGGAAAGAGTTAAATAATGTCAATATATATAAAGCGGTACAAACTGTGGCAGTGTAATGAAGTTTAGTTCACTAATCAACGGATGATATGAAAGAATGCTTGCAATTAAATGGAAAACCCGTTTTGAATATTATAATTGCTTAAGATTTACTTTTTCGTATATATATATAAATGCGTTTATTTATGATTAGACTTATTCCAAGGCCAAAAATTTTATATAAAGTTTGGAAAACATACTGTTCGTGATCCATAATTGTAGGCGTTTACACTTTCTCATACTCACATCTTTTCCTAAATCGGTTATTATCCGAGCTTTCGACAAAATGGTTCTCAGAACACCGTCACTTGGAATCTGTGGATAAAGTATATTTGATTTACTTTAAGTGATATTTACTACTCATATATAAAAATACATAAAAGAGTTTGCAAGTGTTATTTTACATTCAGTAAAACACGTTATACTGCCATCATTTGACATGAAACGTTTTGGCGTTAGAAAGGGGTTTGGCTATAATTGAGAGAACTGTATAAAGGAATTCTTCAGAAAACGAGAAAAAGAGACATTGAAATATGTTGGCAGTAAACAAGGTGAACAAATAAAATAATGGGCATTATATCGAAGTTTTATGGAAATATTACAAAATGTATGTGACCAAAAATAACATTTCAATATTCATTGAACATTCTAAATTACCAACCTCAAGATACAGTTTTTGGAGCATTTCCTTCGTCAAATAGCTTGCCATGTCCTTGCCTTTTACGAGAAAGATATCCATGAAGTCACATCTATCCAACACCAGAGCAGATGTTATCATCTCGTTGTCATCGAAAACGGTTTTGAGATTCTCTCTCTACAAATATGTTACAGCAGACAGTTTTTACAAAACATACAGTAATATCTGTCTTTGAAATTGTTCCTTGAATTTTCTGTAACTGTAATATTAGGCAGGGTAGTCATCGGAAACTGTTTTAAGATTATTTCTTTGAGAATAAAATGCAGCAGAAAGTCTTTCCAAATCATTCAATAATATCTGTCTGTGAAATCAGACAGACAGACAGACAGACAGACAGACAGTATATAAACATAATGGTTAGACTTACGCTTATGTTTTGCATGATATCACTGGCAGTGTCGATTCTGTTCCAGTATAATGCAAGCTTCAGCTGACTAAGGTCCTTGTTTTCCCGCTTCACTGTTGAAAAACATAATTGATAATAAAAGTCTACATATTAGTATTAACATGAAAAATAATACATATAAATAGCAAGGTGCAGGTTCAATTCTTCTTGTTTAAAATCTAAAGGCAGGAATGACAAAATACTGTGAAATCAGATATTTCCGCGAGGCCCAATATCTAGGCGTCTCAACAACATCCTGTATCATGGGTACAAGAATGTGTGGTTTAAGAGTATCCGGTCATACGTAGAATAGCTTTATGTCAAACCTAAAATTACTTCCTTCCTGGACCTACAAATTCGTGGATGAAGGGAACTAACGAAAACCCATGAAAATTAGCGATTTCACAGTATCACAATATTCTTAAATGACAGATAAAAGGTGGAAGGTGTATATGTAACTTTTAAATTATTAAGATATATATTTATGCCGGACAAGGTGTGTTTTTACAGGGTAGCGGTTTTCTCCCACATTTAAATCACTTGTGCGCTTACAACCGAACTAATAAGAGTGATGAATATCCTTGTAAATTGTCAAAAACTTGATTCATATTTGTTATAAAATGAATGAAGCTAAACAACCTAAAATATAACAAATTCATATAATGGCGTTTACCACATATATTTACAATCAGTGTGTATAACAAAACAGACATATAGGAGTAGTTAAGTTCGACTTGTCGGTAACTTTTATTAGGTAAATTTGTGAGATCAAAGTTCATTTGAATAAGAAAATTGATATTGGCAATCACAATTTAAAAAAAAACTTCATTTCGGACTTCGATTAATTAGAATACGTGGTCTATTTATGGTGGATCAAAACCATATATTTTGTTTATTGTATATTTTAAAAAGCACTTTACATAACTTCCCATTTCAATACTGTCATTCAGGTAAGAATCGTAAACCTGTGAAACTGATAACATGCCATGCAATATTCATTACTTCTATATGCATTTTATCCATAAAGTGGCATAAGTAATACATAGACATTTTTCGCAAAGTTAGCCTTAAAAAGATTTCTTAATTTCAGTATACATGTAGTTAGAATAGTTTGGATTCTGGGGAGTGATAAATACTCAATATAATATTAAATGTAATACGAATCATGTTTGAATTTTATTGACCTACCGTCCTGCAGAGCCATTAAGATAACATCACTCATATCATTTGGCATATTTGAGGTGTTCGTCATATCAAATATTTTGATCAAATGTCTCTTCTCGATGCATGCGTGCACAGCAGCTCTATGCTCTTCGGTTACGCCAGTTAATTTTCTGAACTCCATTTCCCATCTTAATCTTAAAGATTAAAAATATTGATAAACACATGCGTTATCATAGATATAAGGTACGATTATGACATCTCCTTTTGATAAATCTATCCAATTTCAAAATAAATGTTCGCATATGACTTTGTCGAACTATAGATATACTGTCTGGAAAAAGTGAAAAGTTCAGCAAATAACATTTATTTATTATGAAGATTGTATACGACATGACATATTCAACGTTCCTGATATATTAGGTATTGTGAAATATCCAGTCATTGTCTATAAGTTGTTTTTGTAATTTATCTGCAAGACAAAATCCGACATAATGTCGTCACTGGTATTAGATATCATTGCTTATGTTCATTATGTCTAACAAGTGATATGATATGTTTCCGGATACAAAAACAGATACAAACAAACCCAACAACATCTTAAAAAACATTTAACTTGTCGCATCGTCATTTTGATATAAATGCTGTAATGAGTGAAGTAATATTACCTCTCTGCTTTCTCTTTCCCTGCACATTCACAAGCTAAAACCAATACGTCAGCAGCTTTTCCGGAACCCTACAATAATAGCAATATTATTATCCAAATCCTTCCTTTTTCACCTTTTTCGAAAAAGATATTATAACATGTTGAAAATACAAATAATGTATTAATCTTAATAATGGTGTTTTCCAAAATGATATATTCATAGTTCACTGTGTGCCTAAATTATTAACGACCATGTTTAGAAAACTGACAAAAAAA